AGATTCCCCTTGCCTTGTAGTTTCTAACAGTGTGGCTACCTGTCCTTGATTCAAAGCGATAGGCGCAACTACCAGCAGGGGTTGGGTACGCCTTGGCAATGGGCAATCACGTACAAAGTGTCCGGGTTGCTTACAGTTGTAACATTCAACCCTCCCTGTCTGATTGACCACCTGATTCGGAGTTGCAAGCGCCTGGCCAGGGGCAGGAGGAGCAGTCAGCATGGGGTACGAAGGCGGAGCGGGACCCGGAGAACTCGAGTTAACTTTTATCAGTTTCGTAATGATCTGTTCCAATCGATCCATCTGGGAAGTCTGCATCTCTATCAGATTGTTCATCCGCTCGGACTGTTTAGTTGTGGCGGTATGAATCATTTGTGCTAGATAGGGCATGGCGGTGTTCACCGACGCCATCTTAGGAGGGAGGGGAGGAGCAGAAGGCTGGAGGTGAGGAGAGGCATCCGGTGAGGGTCCGTCTTGATAATCTCGATCAAGGCGCGGGTATAATCGCGCCACCTCTCCGATCCACGATCGCCGTTTAGCGGCGACATTCTGTATCTGTCTGGGATATCTTCGTCCCCCTGACTGATGTATTTGCGTGTATCCATCAAGTTAAGTTCAAGTGCTTTGGCGATGATAACTGGTAGTTGGTTCGTTTTTGGGGGAACCTTTTTTTGCAACCTTGCTTTCAACACTGGGTTTCGGAGATGATCGATGAACAAGTCTCGAGCAGCGTTTTCTTCTCGCCCAAATTTGTCTAATGCATTTTGAAACCGGTCCACAAAGTCAGGCAGTAACTCTCCGAGTTCATGAGGTGGAGTTTTTAATACAAACCATGCAGCATCGTCACCGACTTCGTCGAATCGTGCTAAGAACGTTTTTTTAAAGGTATCCCAATCTACCCACCTATGTCTCCTAAACCAATCATGAGTGGCATTTCAGAGAAGCAGGGTGATGACGTGAGGAAGATCCTGTGCGCCATATCCCTAGGCTTGCACGACTTCAAGCCATGCCTCGGGATGGGTATGGTTGGGGTAACATGGAAAGGTGGCGGGGATACTTACCATCACCTGTGCAGCCGCTCCATTAGCATCAGCCATGGACATTTCTGGTCGAGTTTCGGTAGACCTTTGTCGGGTAACAAGAGGACTCGGCCGATTAAATCGGTTGGCTAGTCTTCCTCTCACCAACTCGTCTCACTATCATCAGAACCGACACGTGTCGGCTCCGGTACCAACCTCACGCCCTGTGCTACCTTTCGGTCGGAGTGTTTTGGTTTGCGGAAAGGGGTCCGGGAAAGGTATCAAAGATGGGGTGTGCCAAGGATTTTTGGAAAATTGAGTGCAGGGACACAGACATAACTGAAATCCCCCGTGTTGGTCCGAATGGAGCAAGACGAAGGTCCGTCACCACGCGGGTTTGACGGGAGAAAAAGGCACGTGCGGGACTCACACTTATGGAAAATTCAATCCAAAAAATATCACTGAACTTCCCAGCGAGCCGTCGCTCTACGTTTCGAGTAAAAAGGGGCAGGTACACACGTTGTATCTCGTTTGTGGATGAGGTCCTGATGGCATTCGCTACACAATTCTGAATCCGACGTGGAGGGTCTCAATTGAGTGACTCTTTCCTTGTGCTCGTCCTCGCCACGTGTGCAGTAGTGGAATCCCTTGACCTGGTAGTGCTCGAAGTGGCGGTAATTGCCGCACAAAGTATTAGGCCAATGAGGTTTCACTGCCGTCCACTGTACGATGATTAATTTGTTACAGGGCAGTAACAACGAATATGGCGGGAAGTGCGTATTGATGATAACAAAACCCGCACCCACAAATCCATAACACCGATTTTCGGGAGGAAAGAAATAACGCCCTCCGATCTTGGGGACGACTTCTCGTACGTCCCACTCGCATACACGTATCATTTCCTCGTTGTACGGGAAGGGGCGAGGCGGGGGCACAGGAAGTTGGCGCCCAGGTGGGTTGGGGCTGTTAGTCCACATGGCAGCGGAGATAAGCTCAAAACAGGTTTTAATCATACATCACTCCAAGCAATCAGATCATTCAGTTGAACAACCATACAATCATACCATAACAACTCTTTGACGCGACTCACCACATGTACATACCGAATGAGAGAAGTTACTGTAAGGTTTACCACAATTCATCCATTACGATATAGCGTGAGTGGAGGAGAAAGAGAGAGAGAGAGAGAGAGAGAGAGAGAGAGAGAGA